CTATATATCTTAATATCTAAATACTATCTACATATTATCATCTAAATAATATGTAAATATCTATCTATCTATCTACTTACACACATACACATATATCTTTCCAAGAAAACCTCCTTGTGAAGATTTTACAACTATTCAGTCTCAGCTTTCACTCAAACTTTCAGAAGAAACAAGGCAATTTGTCTCTCAAAAAACTCGACGCAAAATCTTCATTTTCCAGATGACTAATTTGGTTGAGATCATATCTCAAGTTAGCCAAACAAAATACACAAACACTAAGTGACTGAATAAAATGTCGGGAATAAGATCTTTCTATGTTCAAAGCGGTGCTTGTAATATCCCTGATATCACAGGGAACAGACAGACTTTTTTCCTTTTTGAAGGAATCCACATTTCTAAGGGCATGCATTTCATTTTGCTAAAAATAATGTCAAACAGGAATGTCATGCAGATTTTTCATGTGGCCGACACAACCAATACTCTCTCTCATCTACCTCCATCTGTCTGTCTGTCTGTCTATCTATCTATCTATCTATCTCTATCTATCTATCTATCTATCTATCTATCTATCTATCTATCTATCTATATCTATTTCTATTTATCCATTGATATCTATCTCTATATCCATTGATATCTATCTCTGTATATATCTGTATCTATCCATTGATATATATCTATCATCTATCTCTATCCATCGCTATCTATGTATGTCTTTATCTATTTCTATCTATCCATTGATATCTATCTCTGTATCTATGTATATCCATCGATATCTATCATCTATCTATCTGTATCCATCGATATCTATCTATCCATTGATATCTGTCTCTCTCTCTATCCATTGATATCTATCTCTATCTATCCATATATCTATATATCATCTATGTCTATTTGTATCTCTGTATTTTTCTCTCTTTCATCTATATCTATTTCTATTTATCTATATCTCTCTCTATCTATATATGTCTATATCTCTCTATCTGTGAAGCCTCCCAGATGATCTGTTGTGCATGTCGATGATCACCCCTACTTACACGTATGTCAAGTCCCTGCCTCCGTCTCCAGAACACACTCCTTTTAATTAGATTAATTCCAACATGTCATCACTGTCAATTTTTCAAAGCTGCATCCCAATGGCATTAAGGGGCTCAAATGAGTCCGAGAGAGGGACGTTAGTACAGGAAACGGCTCAGATCTGCTGTTCACAGCATCTTAACAACAACAACAACAACAACAGTTATAACGGGAAAAGAAAAAGACACCGAAGAGAATGAAAGAAAAAGAGGTAGAAACATTTTAAAAGAAGTTATAACAAGAAACCCAGGTGTGTTGTTCTACTCAACTCTTAACATCACTAGTTCCAGCCTTCAGTTTCTCTGCAGGAGAAACAAATGAGTTATTATTTCTTTGTAAAAATTTCCAGCCTCAGAAAAACCTCTGTGGGGAGGTCAGAATCAACTCGATGGGGGGTGTGTGTAACAAGGTTTAAGGTTACCTGAGACAACGCAGGACCTGGGAGGTGTTACACCTGTACGTGTAAGGTGAGACACCTGGATGGGGCGTGTATCTCACCTTCTGATGAAAGCCAGAGCAAGACTCACCTGGCCCAAGGTAAACAGATATGGCCGTCACCAAGCAGCTCACATTACTTGCCCCACCTCCACGTCCCCTTCGCGTTGTTTTCTTGCTGTTAAATAGAACCCGTATTTAAGGATTAGATATTTATCGATTTTATATAATTTGATAAGTCAAAATTT